ATTTAAGCATTGGAAGGTGCTTAAATCGTAAGTATTAGAAACTCTGAAAAGCACTAACGGTGGCATATTTAAGTGTTTTTTTTAAGCGCTGAATTTCAACGAGGTAACATCTCTTGATGATCCACTACATTGACCAATATTGTGTTCTCATATTTATTCGAAAACTTCGGTTTTTACGAAACTCTTTTTGCACAAACATTCTTCGAAAAAAAAACAGTTTTGTTTCGAATAAATATGGAAAAGAATCAGAACGTTCTAATGATTATGCTGTCCTCATGATTTTCCACATATGAAAAGACTACGTTGACGAATATAGTGAATTGCTGAGAAAATGCTACTTCGTAAAGCATTACAAGGTCTGTTTACGACTCATTTCGTAGACAATCAATTAACTAACAATACTTCACTTTGATCTTAAAATATGCTCGTCTAATATGTTTTATTTTCACTTTTTTCTTTTACAAGCTAATGTAAACTGATTAGTCTAAAGCCATCTTCTCAAAACTTGATGGACAATCAAGAGTGGAAAATAATTCGTATTTGATTGTACAGTATTTATCAAATATTCGAACTCATGAGTCAAAGGTATTTTAATGTTAACTCTTAAATCATCTTTAGCCAATAAATTAATTTCGATTCAAATTTAAAGCTGATCTCTGATTAATAACTGCTGAGAAACTATTGAAACTCGATACCTTCTCCATGTTTTGACCTATATTCTAGCCACTTTCCAATATACACATTGTAAATCGTCAAATATCAATTTTACAAAACCTGCATGTTCAATAATCTATCACTGTTTCTATGAAAACACAATTTCTCAGTTTTCTAAGATGGGATAAGGAATATAGAAAAACTGTTGAGAATGTACGAACTCATACAAGTAATCGTCAAGAAACACTATCCATGATATTTTCTTTCTAAAATATATTTTTTCGACTATAGTTCTCTAAGTCATGCGAAAAATATGTCAAACAAAATGAAACTATTTTGTAGTTTTTTTTTTTTTTACTAATGAAGTTTGTCTGATAACTCATTGTTAACTGCAGAAGTTTTGGCTGAACTGAAAAGTTCGTATTAGAACATTGATTATTGAAAAAAAATAATGGCTATTAAAAAATATCAAGTTACAAATTACCTTATAGAGTCCAAAATTTACAGTTTGAGAAAATATTATGTAATTACCATTCTATCGAAAGATTTACAGCATTGAAATATTCTTCCTGATAACTACTCAGCCTTCTGTTTACGATTGTAAACTAGTAGGTACATTTATCTGAACATTTATTTGGACTAAACAAGTCAATCGTATACTAAAATAAATACAATTAAGCGTATTCGTACCGTACACCATTAAACTCAAAAGTAGAAGCCGTTCTACATGCATATAAAAAAAATCATTATTTTCTTTTTATTCAACCACGCAAAGCTACGATGAATGTAATTAAATCACTTAGTTAATTATTCGATAGTTACACTAATTATATTTCAAGCGTTGGATACGAAATGATGAAAATAATATGGGAGTTGCGAATGAAATAAAAGGAACTAGCTGTCAATAGTTAGATTGACAAGAAGGGTTGACGTCCAGAGATTGTCCTCTTAAGACTATTATGAACATGTACACATTGCAAATATTTAAAATCCCCATTTAAAAAAAAACAAACGATAGAACTGTTGTCGTGTCTCAAACAAATCTGGCTAGAAATTAGGGTCGCAAAAAACAAAATCTTGAAAAGATGACTCGGAATACTTTATCTGTGTAACAAAGCCAACGAATTCTATTTATTACTTTTTCAATAGACAGATAGGTAGATTAGTACAGAAAGTTTTTTTTCATAAACCATTTTATTAAGTAGACACCATGAATTATCTTCTGTACATACGTGCTAGAAAATAATAATAATAATAATAAAACTAACGTTCATTTGCATGGTCACTTTCTTTCATTTTTTTTTCATGTAATCAGTACACTATCATTACATCAAATAATTGATGACTCTGTCTTTTGTACTGTCGCCGTCTGTTAGTAAAATATGTAAGCTAATAATTCAACAACCACAAGCTAATAGCAACACTGTAGCGAGTGAATCACTCTGTAATCGGGTAGAAAGTGACGAATGTAACGAATTTCTTATCGCAAATAAAGATAAGAGCTAAACTAAATTTAAACAAATGATATGCTACAAGCTCTCGCATCGATTAGTATGTATCGAGAAAAGCCTACAACAAAATGTTGCTTCAGATTTTACTGTGATGATAAATGTCCATATCTACAGATACGCGCGATCGAAGGCTACAATGCATTATAGCGCTTAAATATGAAAAAATCACAACATTTTCCAGTGTTTTTCACTGTAACTCAAGCGAGGCACTTAGATCACCATTTTCTAAGCTCTGTTAAGCAGCTTGTTTTAGCGAAGCGATTTTCTACAGCTTGCAAAACATAAAGTTAAGCGCTTTACTAAGCCGCTTAGAAATAGCTTGCAATGGCAAAACTTTTATCATAGGTAATCGTTTTTCTTTCTGGATTTTTGTTTCATTCTAACATGCAATCCGAAGATTATAAAAACATGGAAACAACAGTCATCTATAGCTCATCACTAGTTTCAACAGGTTTCATTTATGCTGATGAATATAGCGCACTGAGAACTACGGACTATACACTTAAGTTTTCGAATTCAAACGGTTACGCAAGCAAAAATTGAGAACTATCGAAAGCATAATCAGTGGCGTCAAAACACATTTGTCTAAATCAAAGCACACGGATAGGCTCCTACAGGACTCCAATAAAATCTGACACGATCTTATCAAAAATTGCTAGAATGTTTTGTCTGGGATTCCAATAGTTGGATTCTATATGATGCCTGATCATTCTAACGATTCTTCACAGTAGGATCCTACTATTAAAATCCTACGCACAGCATACAGACATTATTGGACGTAATCTTATTGAACTTCTATACAATGCCACAAGTGTTTCAGCGCTCGAAAATATCTACCCAGGCGTGTTGCTTCGTCGATCAGCGATTTTACTCGATTTAATTCATAGTTAAGGTCGACCAAAAGTTCTGGTCAGGACGTTTAAAAGACCTTGTCGTATAAGGTGAACTATTCCAAAATGAAAAACCAATTAAACCATGTTGTAGGGATTTTTGAAGCGTGTCAAAGGGTATGTAGTAAATCTTGTTTTCATAAGCCTTTAAAGGAAATAAAGTGATTTTAAAACCTTCTCGAAAACTTTTCCGTTTCCAATATTTTTTTATTGAAAACCTTTTCGAGTATTCGGGCATCGAAAACGGTGGAAGGATTTCCAAGAAATCAAGCAGAGTTTCCGAACACACTGTGTATGACCCTGAATAGTTTCCGAATCTTGACAAAATCCTGTGTTTCCGAGAGAAGTTTCAGAAGCTCACCCCGTGTTCTGGAGCACCGAAATAAAATTCGGATATCTTCTTTTTGATTCTCATGTTCTCATCGTTATTTTAGAGATTAAGCAATTGCCAGACATCGATGAGATAAACCTTATTTAATTTATGTGAAGTTATTATGTAAAACCATTAGAACTCTGAGAATTCAAAAAATACATTGTTCGCAAGAAAATCTCAGCGTGTTGTTACATTTTTCAGTGCCTAAAAATTTGAATAGATTATGACAAATCTTGCTGGGAGGATCGAAGAGTTGCACTCAATCGTCAAGTCATTAAAAGGATGGCGTCTTTTTCCTTCGTCATACACTTATGTTTTGATCCAATCTCAACCATTATCATCCTTGTCAACATATTGTACCACAATATAGTACAAGTTTCAGCCTTTTCGGATCCATTCAACCAATTTATACGGAAGAGTGATAGGAGAGGAATGATGGAAAACATGAAGAAATCTTCATTTCCGAAAGAATATATAACAAACACCGGATCTCTTGGAATGTTTCCAACATAATTTATTCTCTATATATCTCCACAAGCGTAAATGATAAAATCTTAATTGTGTTCTAAACATGCGTCCTAATATTCTGTACAATAACCAAAAAAAAAGCTTCTCTTGAGTTTTTCTAATAGATGTGAAGCGAGCTAAAAGAAAAGAGGTATCAGATGTTGTAATTCCTTACTTTGATGTCAATGTAAATGCTTTAAAAAGATGCATTTACTATCTAAATCGAATCAAATTTACAAAAGCTCATTTCTAAGTATCATCATCTTAATAAAACATGCATCTTGATGTTCGAAAATAGTCAGAAAGGATGAAGCGTCTGGAAAATATGATTGTTGTTTAGCAGAAGAAAAAAAATCGGAAGAGTGAGAAACTATAGGTTTTCATACACCCTTGTTTTTAGTTCTCTCCAAACCTATTAACACAAGTGACAAGAATTTTTGCGTTCATCTATTGTAGAGAATGCTATGACGTGTCCTTTCAAAAATAAGTTGACGTTTTTATGAATCGTCTCTTTGAACACAAATAAAGTAAAATATCTTCGAAGCATTCAGAAAAAAACAGTAGATATTTATTTCTTTACATCGCAAGATAGTTATCCCAACTGATCTGATAAGAGGTTCGCAAAAAAAAACGCGAACACCAAAACCAGACTTGAACGATAACGCAACTGAAGACCCCAAAACTTCAAGTGAGGATGTAGGTGTGGGGTTTGGGTAGCTTATCGTGGCCCCTCACCTACTGTACATTCACCCCACTCGCCCAGATCCATCCACATCCACCCACATCAGAGTTTTTGTATCGCTCATAGAACGTGTTATCCGGCCACAAATGGTTGAACAAACAAATTAATAAGCAAAGAAAGCAGAATAAAAATTGGGTGAAATTCGGTGTGACTAATAAATATTGGCGTGACTGTTTATTTAAAAATTTCATCTGGAAAAAATGATAAAGAGCAAAAACGGATATCAGTTTTTTCTGGGAAATGAATAGATCAGTTTAAGGACAAGAGCGATTGGGTAAAAGAGTAAAGAGAAAAACGTGATGAAGAAGAGTTGTTGTCTTAGTTCATCGTTCTATACGAGTAATGAGACGTACAACTAGACCACCAAGAAGTACAGTAGGAATGACAGTCAGGCGTTGTCCCTGACTCTTAATGGTTGTAGAAGTAGTGGTCGTTGTCGTTGTTGTTGTTGCTGATGTCGCTGATGTTGTAGTCGTTGTTGTTGCCGATGTCGTAGTCGTTGTTGTTGCCGATGTCGTAGTTGTTGTTGTTGCCGTTGTTGTTGTCGCTGATGTTGTAGTCGTTGTTGTTGCCGATGTTGTAGTCGTTGTTGTTGCCGATGTCGTAGTTGTTGTTGTGGCGGACGTAGTAGTGTCCGACGTGGTGGTGGTGGTCGTCGTTGTGGTCTGACAATCAATGCTTCGCAACAGTAACAAGCTGATAAGTATCATTATGAGAATATTCGCCGACATTGCCGCTCTAACTGAATTATTTCGACGCATACGTTACACAATCTAATAAATTGAAATCGGCTTGTTTAACAAGGGAAGTTTCCAAGCTTCCCAAAATCAACAAATTATGAACATAATTATTCTTCTTGCAAAGTTTTAATGTATCGTCAAATATTTTACTCCCACATAAAATAACCAATTATAAACAACGAATCATCCTCTGAAATCATTTATGTGTGCATGGCGTTCCATCATTTATAAAAGATCATTTCAAGTTGGAACCAATATGGGTTGATATGTCAGAATTAGCAAAAGAAGGAGATTACTCATTAGGAAAATTCACTGTTTCTAGGATGTCTTGAAATTATTGGAAAAGGATGAATGAAGTGAGCAAAGATCAGCCGCAACCAAATAATATTTCATTGGTTTTTATCCACTGATACGCTACTTATGTAGAAGATTCGACAAGTTTTTTGCAAAGAGTTGCAGCATAAGGTTTCAATAATACAAGTATAAGTTTTTACCAAATGAAAACTCCTCAAAAACAGAATCTAGGAATACTTTTAGCCACTTACAAAAGAACACGATGCACATTATTTCTGTATCAAAGCTGCAAGATTCAACGGATGTAAATCGAGATTTTCACGAGTAGTCAAGAACAAAATAGTAAGTCTCTAAAAGAGCTTTTTTTTTCTTTATGACTTTCTAAAACTTTCCTTACTAATCCATTCTTATTCCAAAAATTTTCCATCTGATGTATAAATAATGATGCATGACTGAAAATACTGATAAACATTTTGGTTCTATCTAGAGGACCGGTCAGGGAGTTTCAGTATTTTGATCATTGCATAGTTGTTAAGTGATTATATTTAAAAACACTAGCTTAAGAACGATTAGCAAGCAGAGCTGTATAAAGTTCTAAAGATACAAAAGCTTTTTGAGGCACTTAGGTTTTCGTAATTGGCCAGGTCAATCATTCTGGTCACACAAGTACGAAAATGGTCGAAACTTGTAATGAAGAATCTGATGATCGCACACGGCAGCCGACTTTTTCTAGTTCTAGTTGGAGTTGACTATGAAACTAATAGCCGGCTACCAGTTTGCCTACATGAGGGCAGCAGTTAGACTAGCTTCTCTACAAAGTGGTATTAATTTTCGACAAGTTATCTTACGGATAACAGTGTGTAAGCAGAAGGATACTTTTTTATATAAGTTGTGTTAGGCACGGATATTTTCGAAAAATAATATCTCAACGATAGTTTGTCTAAAATTACTGAAACTTTGTTGACGCAGGTTAGTTTAACTAATGCCTTAATGTGGGCAAAGTTTCAGGTCAAAAGTCGAAACTTTGATTCTACCGGATCATTGGAGTGTTCAAGGAAAATTACAGTAAAATATATGTATCTCAGCCAAATTGTAACTTGTGCCTATATCTTCTTAAGGTTTTTTGTAACCTATACATCACCTACTTGGGAACGAAATTCGTGCTCAAAAGCTTTTTAGCACCTGAGAAGGCTGCGTCGTAAGTCAAAACACGCGGGTAGGCACCTGTAGGACTTCGATAAAATTCGACAGGATCCTATCAGAAATTGCTAAAATGTTGTGTTTGAGATTCCAAAATTTGAATTCTATATCATTCCTGATCGTTACAACAATTCTTCACAGTAACACCTGACTATCAGATTTCTATACGCAACATATAGACATTATCGGACGCAATCTTATTGGGCTTCCCACGAAAAAATTCTTCCGAAAAAAACCGCGGTAATCTGAGATTAACCGCGGTTTTGTTCCGAATTTTGAAAAACCGCGAAAGTCAGACCATTTATGCGTCTTTTAAAAACCGGTTGAAACCGCGGTTTGTAATGTCGCGGTTAGACCTGCAAAAACTCAGCTCGGACCGCGGTTTTCTCGGTTCTCACCGCGGTATTTGCTAACCACGGTTTTCACTGGTTTCAAAAACCGTATAAACGGTCTGACTTTTGCGGTTTATGAAACCGCGGTTTTTTCTTGAAAAATTTTTCCGTGGGTTCTGTATAATCCCACAGGTTTTTCAGCGGTCGAAAATGTCGACTCAGGTGTTCTGCTTCCTCGATCAGCAATTCTACCAGATATAATTGATAGTTATAAATGAGACTTCAAGACCTCTACGTAAACAAATAGACTTATAGCATTCAATTTCAATTTAGAGAGTAAAATTGAGAAAGTTTAAGAAAAAAATAGCAGTGTCTAATGATTTTCCAAAAATCAGAGTCAAAACTATACTAAAACTTCAATGCATAGAAGGCAACATGACTAATATGCGAGTTCAGTAAAAGTCCTATGATAACTTCTTCTAAAGTCTAGTTAATTTTTTCAAAGAGAAAACAGCGAAAATTTTGTACTTCAAGGATATTTCAAAAGTTACTCTCTTGAACTTCTTAGCAATCTCAAGTCTAGTATTAACGTGTATCACGAGTATATTAGTTCGAATTTATTTTATATAAGTCTGTCCGACAATAAATTTCAAATACTTCATCGTATTTCAAAATTTGATTATCAGTGAAATATGCTGAACTATTTGGGCCTTATTATCGGAAAGATTTATATAGAATGAACTCCAACTGGTATACTTGCAACATACATTAATAGTAGATTTAAAATAGTTGAGAAGATCCGAAGAATAACTTTGACATGCCTTTGAAGTGAGATAAGATGCTGATGAAGTACGAAATTTTCGCTTATCTCCACTGCAAAGAATTGAAGCAGTGGCAGAAATCCAGTCGATTTACTTGTCATCGATTGCAACCGGACTTGTTAGTGTTGTCAAGTTTAGTCGAACGAGTTTCAAGGATTGTGTTTCATATTTTCTTCATCTAACTGTGTTTTTATCAAGAAGATCACAAAAGAACGGAAACGCAATTAGTCAAACTAACAATCTGCGGATATACGGCAATAACCGACATTAATCGGTTCCGAAGCGCTTTTAAGTAAAACTCAACAAAACTGCTCGAGCCTAATAGATAGTTTCCGTTCAAGGATACAATAGGAAAAAAATGAATAAAATTTAAGAAAAATTATATCAAAACACCAACCAACTTTGAATACAACATACTACGGTCAAAATCTTGATCATTGATTTTATTATCACATTTTTAATCTAATAAGAGAAGATTTCTAAACACTGAGTGTAATCCCTCAATGATAATACTATGTAAATCAGCTAGAAGTTCATCGTTTTTAGTGTTGTGAATCTATTATTGTATAAAACAGAGCTCAGCACGATGAAGAATACACTACTGATACGTGTAAAAAACTATTTTTTTTCACAAAATAATCGACAGACTACTTAACCCACATGATATATGATCTATTTTGGATTACACTATGTTGAGATGCACATTACCATTCAAAAATGAATAAAATAATTGAACATTGTTTTTGTTAGCAATTTTCAAATTCACGTTCTGTTTTGAATCGTTAATACAACAAACAAAAATAATTATACTCCTAAATTTATTCAATACTAGAATTTTTTAACGAAGCACATCTATTAAATATATGTTCAATTTGAGATTTCTTTCAATAAAATTGTCTTCTAAATATTTCTATTTCAATTTAATTTTTTAATTAACCCTTTGGGAACCAAGGACGTATATATACGTCCTCACAACTGAAACAGAAGACCCAACTGCTTTGAATATTTCGAAGTGGAATCATTGTATATTTTATTTCCTTTTCCACCAGAGAGTTCATTGTCATACTCTATAGAAAGAAGAGCTAGCCTCACAAGTATATAGTTCATAATTTGTAAGTTATACCTAATTTCCACGATACTATTTACCTCTTCTCGAAAAAAAAGTCGGTCCCCAAAGGGTTAACCTACATTTCTAAAATTAATTTTATTTCAATTATTCAGGTTGATAATTCCGGACTCCAGAAACAAACGGATTTCAATGGAACCAGTTGAAAAGATGCGAGAAAAATCACCGTATCCGGCAAGAAAACACTGAAAATCAATGAAACATGGAAACAGTATTCTCGAATGGAAAGTCTCCAAGTTTTTTCCGACTAATTATGACCGTTTCCTGGCCAAAAGAAACAGTAATTGATAGGAAGTCGCCGAAAAAATACAGAGATTTTCTAGCCTAGAATACCGTTTCCTGGCCAAAAGAAACGGTAATTGATCGGAAGTCGCCGAAAAAATACAGAGATTTTCTAGCCTAGAATACCGTTTCCAATTTCAATCTATTTCCGATGTTTTCCTATCAGAACCGACTCTTATTGCTTGACCTGGATTTCTTTTTTTACATGGAAGATCTTCTCTTCTGATGGGATGAGTTAAATTTCAAGTGGCATCAATTCGATCTTGAGAGAGAAGGCCATTCAAGTCGACTCTCTTGCTCGACGAAATCCTGGTTCCGAATAGCACTGGAAAAGACTAAATTCAACTGTCAATCATTGCTAAGTGGCATTAAATTATTATTACTGCTCACATTCCACACTCAGATCTGGTCTTACGTTGTTCGTTACAAACGGTATAGTGATGGTAGTTGTTAAATTGAATTTTCACAATAGTATACAAATTATTTAATTGTATGTCAATATTAAATGTGTTCTAATATAATTAGAAATTTGAGTCTTTATCTATTAAATAATTGTTTGATGTTTTGTTATTGAGATTTTTCAAAATTTGCTCAAACTATCGATGGTTGAATCTATTGGAAGTGTAAGGATTATGATAGTAATCAAGAACTGTCAACACCATGGATGACACAAACAAATATAGAAAACATAATTAATTCAACATCTAATAATCAGTATATAATATTGAACTTCTTGATGATGTCAGCTAATTATAATAATTGAATCTTTTCTATTTAGACTGCAATGTTCCTAAGTATTCTTATGTTAGTCGATTTATTTTAAAAATATCATTGTCATTGTATTTGTATCTTCGAGGAACAATATTAGTCAAATGCTGAAAACACAAAAATCAAATTGATTTTAATATTAGTTTA